CAGGCCTCAGGCACCCAACCAGGCCTCAGGCGCCCACCAGGCCTCAGACACCCACTCCAGACCCAGGCACCCACTCCAGGCCCCGGTTCTCTCCCAGGTCAGCTCCCCTGCAGTCCCCCTTGCAGTAAAGGAGGAGTCCGACCACCTGCCTGTCAGGACAGAGGATGGTCCCTCGGACCCTCTTCCTCCCTCCAGGCAGGATGGATCAGCAGACACTTCAGCCTCCACTTCTCAAACAGACCCAGAATCTGACGCCTGATCCACCCTGTGGTCACAGGCCAGGTCCCAGCGCCCCTTGCCTGAGCCTGCAGCCGCAAGGTCTCCCGAGACCCTCCACGCTCTGCCACAGCCACAGCCCCTCGCTGTCCTTGGACATGCAGATTCCTGCCTTGGGCCTCTGTGGGGGACCTCCTCCATGGTGAGGCTCTTCCTCCCAGGGCTGGCCTCACCTGCAGACCCCTCCCCACTCTGCCGCGAGGCCTTACCCATGTCTCCTGGAGACCACCTCTTCCTTGGCTGTTCTGTCTTCCACCCACACAGAGTCAGGTTCCCCACGGACCCCAGGGGTCTGCACTTGGTTCTCGGGGCACCTGCTGCAGTTTGTGACGATACCCTCTCCCAGAGGCCCACTGAGACTTCCCAGCACTTAGCAGACCTCTGCGGGCTCAGGCCTGGAAGGGCATTTCCCAGGGAGGGGATCACTGAAGAGTGACCTGGCTGGAGAGCCCTAGCACCGTCTGCACCTCAGTAGTCCAGCTTGAGGACGTGCACCCCTGGAATCCCTTCTCTCTGAGATACAGAATTGAGTGAAAGTGAAATTTTCCCCTCACTGTCCAGAGAGGAGTTTGGAGCTAGAGGGTGGGGTGGGCAAAGGGAAAACAAACAAACTGAGGACCCTAGAAAAGCAAAACAGCTAGTTGAAAAACAGCCGACAACCAGCCAGAGAGAACCGCCAGATGATTGGCCTGCTGACATGCCGGGAGTTTCATGGACCACTCCCCTCTCTGAAGGGAAGGGTCAGCAGTCTTGATTTTAAGCTCAGCCTACTTTTTGCAGAGCAGACTTTTGATCCTCTGCCCAGGCTGCACCGAGGGCACCAACTACATACACGCAGCTGCGTCTTTCTATTTTACAAAGAAGCAGATACAACCAAGTGATTTTTCTGGCATTATGCAAGGAGAAGTACCCAAACCTTCCTGCTGTGTGTGGACTCCATTTACCATGGAGCACTGGTGCCAGAGCAGAGTACATGGGACAAATTCACCCCCACCTTCCGCCCTCCTGCCCCCTCTCGTCACCACAGGGAACCCGCTCCCCTGCTCTCCCTCCCAGTGACCACCACAGGACAGGGCTCTCAGCAGAGGGGCTGCCTCCAAACTAAAAGGACCGCCGCTGCGCCTCGTCCTCCGTGATCTCTGGAAAGGGATCATGGTGGAACCAGACAGTGTTGTCTCTTGGAATGCCAGGCGAGGTGTCACAGCGTCAAAGGAGAAACTGGTTTTGAAATGTAATTACCCCAAGGTGAACTATGAAGGGGCTGGAGAATGGCAAAGTGAGCAACTATAGATCAAGTCCGTGTTCCCTGTCATCATGACCAGGGTTCACTGAGAAGCTGAGTCAAGCTGACCCCACTTCTGCCCAGACACTGTGCCCTGCTCCCACACCCCGCCCCCTCCTGCAAGAGCCCACTCACCCAGAGGCGGACCACACCTCCTGCACCCCGACCACAGAGCTCCCTTTCCAAGTACAGGGGCCGCCAGCCCCAGGAGCCGGTGGCCATGCACTGGCTCCCCTGCCCCTCGCCTGGGTGTCCTTGAGGTTCCGAAGCTTGCTCTCCACCTGAGCCCACCGGATGCATAACCCAGACTCTGACCTATAAACCTGCAGCTCGGAGGAGGTCTGCTGCCGTTCTCTCTGCGCAGAGAGAACACTGTCAGGTTTCCTGACCACGAACTGTTTCTGCTGAGCCTTGGTGTGTTTCAGTGGTTCTGGGGCAGTCCCCTAACAATTGGTCTATTACCTAATATTTATGTGATGTGTGCACACACATCTGTAAATTCTTAGGGTGGAAATATTTAAGACTATCATGTGAGCCCAATTTATTGATGATGTTGGACTAAAGGAAATGAACAGTATTAATTTTTAATCACTGTTTGATTTCATTCTCTCAAAATTGGATCATATTTGGTAAATAAACATAATCCTTGTAAACCTCAATGCAAACCCTTGAAGCAACATATATATTCAAAGAACTGCATTTTACAGTCCTGCAAATGAGAAAATAATCCTCCTGGAGCGTGAAATAGTGCCAAGGTTCCTCTTCCACCCAAAGGAGGCCCTGGTCAGCAAAGATCAGCGGCCTCCCTCAGCCCACCCTGGCCACCCTTCTTTCTCATGGGAGCAACCATCCGGGCTGGATCTGCAAGGCACTTCCCTAGGGAGAAGGCCCCAGGAGCTCACAGACAGCTGCTGCGGCAGGGAGGGAGGGTACCTTTTAGGTGTGTCTCTGAAGAGATAGCTGCTGATCTCGGCTCCATCTGGAATCACTGACGAATCGTGGAAAAACGCCTTGTCTCGGATCTGCATCTGGAAAAGCTCCTCATCTCGAGTGGGCAGCTTCTGGGCCCTGGAGCCAAGAGGCAGCAGCAGCCACAGCACACTCCAGCCGAGCAGCACCATCCTGGGCAACAGAGAGGCGGCGGTGTTAGTTCTGCAGGCAGCCGTCCCCGACGTCCTCCTGCAGCAAGCACAGAGGTGGCCCTGAGCCACACGTGGGTGTCTCAGATCCCCGACAGGCACACACGCTCTGGAAGCATCTGCCCTCTGCTTTTCCCCAACTATTTCATGATGTTGAGAATGAATTCACCAAAATTTCAGATGCTCAAAGGATTTTTAGACATTTGATGCATTAACTTCCCACTTCAATTATGGCAGAAGCCACGGTGATCACTACAGGTGGCTTCGGTCTACGTGTAACGCTTCAACTAGGGCGGTCATTCAGGGTCAGCCCTTGTAGCTGACACAAGGCTACCAGAGGTGAGTTGGACTTCACCTCAGCAGTCAAGTTATAACCTGTTGATGTGGTTGAACTATTATTTTCAACATAAGTCACAGAGACCTGTCCAAAGCCAGAAAATTACTACACAGATTATTTTATTCTTCCTTAAAATTTGAAGCTGGATGTGGGGGCGTATACCTGTAATCCCAGCAACTCAGGAGGCTGAGACAGGAGGATTTCAAATTCAAAGCCAGCCTCAGCAACTTAGCAAGGCCCTAAGCAACTCAATGAGACCTTCTCTCTAAATAAAAATTCAAAACAGGCTGGGGATATGGTTCAGTGGTTAAGTGCCCCTGGTACTCCCCACACACCCAGTTACTTGGGAAGCTGAGGCAGAAGGACCTCAGCAAGTTAGGCAGACCCTGTCTCAAGACCAAAAAAAAAAAACAAACAAAAACATTGGGCATGTGGAAAAGTGGTAAAGCACCCTGGACTCAACCCCTGTACAAAACCTTGACTGAGGATTCTGAAGAGTCTTCTGCTGGTTCCGTGACTGGATTTTCATATCAGATTTATGAAAATCTATTATGATTTTATGATTAGAGATTATGACATCCAACTCCCTCGCAGGTAATCTGTGCAAAACCACAAGGCAAGTTATCACTGATGCCTCCGCGTATAGGCCACCAGACTCCCCCCCGCCACAGGCACACGTCAAGCCCCACCGTGTCAGAAGTCAGCGTGGCTTCCACTCGCAGAGCAGCCGGGCCTTGGAGGTCCCACGTCCTGAGGACTTTCACCGAGTTACCCTCAGCAGTTCACCGACCCCCACCAAGGTCTCCAGCACTGCAGGCCACTCTACTGCTGCGCAGGGGAGCTGCAAGCCCACTGTCTCCCACCTCACCCCGGGCTGGGGGGCTGTCAGGAGCCCCAACCAGGCTTTGCGCCTCTGAGGAGCTGGCACGTTTGCTCTCAGAGAGAGCACATCAGGGAATTCAATCATTAGAGAAATGCGGTATTTCTACACTTTAGTAATTTAAATAGTGAAAATTCTAATGCAAATAAATATTTGCAGCAATTTAAGATGAGGTGAATGCCAGTCTTATTTTAAATAGACACTATTTTAGATACAACTAATTAACCTCTACTTAACACATCATTTGACTCTAATTTTGCCTTTCTTTGAATGCTATCAAAAATAGATTCAGACAACTTTAAATATTTTTGAAAGGATGCATTTGTCTTTAAGATGAAAATGTGAAAAGTTGGGCACAGTGGTGCACACTTGTGATTCCAGTTTCTTGAGAGGATGAGGCAGGAGGATCACAAGTTTGAGGCCAGCCTCAGCAACGTAGCAAGACCCTGTCTCAAAATAGAAAATTGCAAAGGGCCGGGGCCAGGGCTCAGTGGTGGGCAAGAGATCCACGAACTCCACAGAGGGACGGAGCTGCTGAGACTGAGCACGACCCTTCCTGCCGGGCCCCCCAGAAATGGCCTCTCCCTTGGATACTCAGGGCAGGTGTAAGTGGGAGCTCCTGGTGTCTACAGCCATCAGCAAGGGTCTGTCCACAAGAGGTGGCCACGCCCAGCTGAGCACTCTAAGCAGAGGATGTGATGGGCTGAGCTGGGTGGGTCTCTGCTCACCACCTCTCTGGCCCCTCAGCTCCCGTCTGTACCCTTAATCACATGTTCATAAAAATACCTGTGTTAGCACAATAAAATCACTTCTCTGTGTCGCACGCACCATGCCCACAACGCCGCCTCCTGACTGCAGAGGAGGACAATTAAAAAAAGTCTCTTTGGAAACGGTCAGGAGTGGTAGCCTTCTGTGCTCCCGGGACTGTGGAGTGGATGGGTCAGGGCAACCCCTGCCCTGGCCACTCCAGGTCAGCCGTCCTCAAGGGGCTCCACTCTGTCCACATGGCTGTCCACTGCAGGACTGGCCAGCTAAGGGGACCAGTGCCCCAGGAACTCACTTGGTCTGGAACCCAAGGAACGCCAGCCACAGAGGCCCCAGTTCCTCAGTGGCCCTTGGGGAACTTCCTCTCATTACATCAGCCAGTTGCCGGGGATGAACTGTGAGACGATGCATTAGTGAATGTCACGTGCACACACCGCCCGCCAGGCACCCTTCTGACTGCTCCCGTGGTGTGCACCCCCAATGCCTCCAAGACCCTCTGAGGTGGGCACGGCCATTTTTCTTATTTTAAACACGGGAAAGCAGCATAGGCAGGTAGGGGCCCGTAGTGAACACTAGAGGTGGAAATATGAACTTCTCATCGTAAATGACTTTGAAAGCACAGTAAACCGGATCCAATCTGCACATCTCCACGCAGCTGCTTAGCACTGAATGCTACTGAGCAATGCTGGATGAGGGGACATGCAGAGCAGGGCCCCCAGCCCCACCCCCCATGAGGCTCTGCTCCTGTGCATCCCAGGCACTTCTCAAAGCTGTTTGTAAGGTCAACTCCTCTTTATTGAAATGCTTAGAACTAGGCATGTTTTAGATTTGGGGTTTATTTTTATTTTGGAGTTTGGATATTTGCACATACAAAATGATGTCTCTTGGGTATGGACCCTATCCTAAACACGAGATTCATGCTTCTTATACACCTTATGTGTGTGGTCTGAAGGTGATATTACACAATATTTTAAATGATTTTGTGAGTGAGATGAAGTTTCACAGTGTGGAACTTTCCACTGTGGCTCACTGGTGCGCAGAAGGTTTGCATTGGGGCCTTTCAACCTCAGATCTTCAGGGAACCTTAGCAGAGTGGTCAAAGCTGTCAGATCTAAGGGTGGGCGTGGCTGCAAGCCACCGTGAAAGTTCCGGGTTCTGGTGCCTGGGTCCAGCCTCCCCCACCAAAAGCACACCCTCATTCCTCTAGAAACGAGGGGTGGAACCACCACAGGACCCAGCGGTCCCAATCTTGGTATTTATCCAAGGAAACCAGTCAGCATTCCACAGCAACACAGCCATGTCCACAGCAGCCAGACTGTGGAACCAGCCAGGTGCCATGGGTAGATGGGCGGATTAAGAAGAAATTGTGGTGCAGACGCATAACAGGGAAAGAACGGAATTACGGCATGGCAATGGAGAATCTCACGCTAAGTGAAACGCAGAGGTCAAGTGTTTCTCCCACCTGCAGAAGCTAGAGCAAAATAAAGGACAGGAGGAAGGAGAGGGCCCTACAGAGGGAAGACCAGTAACGCAGAAGAATGAGGTGAGTGGCAGAGGGAGGGAGGGTAAGGAGGCAAGGCAGAACTAACTCCTCAAAAACCATGTGGCATGGATACATAGATATACCACAGGGAATCTCACCTTTATGCATAAGTAAAAAGAACCAGTCAAACATAAATAGAAGAGCATCAGGAAGTCTAGCAGAGTGGAGGGAGGAGATGGGGGAGGGGGAGGGGGAGACAGAGGAGGGGAGAAGATGGGGGAGGGGGAGGTGAAGAGGGAGGAGATGGGGTGGGAGGAGGTGGGGAAGAGAGGAGATAGGGGAGGGAGGGGATGAGGGAGGGAGGGAGGGGATGAGGGAGGGAGATGGGGAAGGGGAGATGTGAGCGGAAATCAATTCCACACATGCTTGAGTTTGCCGGGATGAACCCAGCAACTGTGCATGACTATAAGGTTCCAATTAAACAAAAAAAATCATATTCTCTAAACTAAAATTCCATCAGGTCACATTTTTTGTTTCTGAAACCATCTTAATTAACAGGACAATATGGGCAAAATAGATATTTTTCTGGAAAGTGTTCATGATTAAGCAGGACCTTGAAACACAAGAATTCAATTTCACCACACTGCAGTTTTCAAAATGTCATCTAATAACATTCAACGGTTGAGGAAAACAAATTCAACCATTAGGGAACTTCAACCATTTGTTCAACTCCACCAGTCTACAGGCAGGATTTTTTTTAAACAAAATGCGTTTAAAATAAGCTCCAAACACAACTAACCAAAAATTACTTTGCAGACACACTGTGTATATTTTTGTAACTTGTATTCACTGTACAAAAGGGAAGCTTTACTCAGAGATCGTTTAATTGGTGGTTTTAAGATTTTATAGATTTTTGTTCCCTGCCAATAAAATGTTCTCTCTCAGACATTCAGTTTAGGAATCGGTCACTTGACATAAACAACTTATCCTTCCTAAGAACCAGCCTGGCTTAGCAGTCCATGTGTACAGACTAAGATGACACAGGTGCCCTCTAATGGCATACCTTGGCCTCTGGTTTCTTTTTATTACTGGTAGGTATCCGGAGCTCAGCTAGATTGCAAGTTTAAATTAAATAACATTAACCGGAATTTCACTTTCAGCGTGATTCTTTTTCCAAGGCCATCTGGTGGATAATGCAGGAAACGTCTCCCTACAGCAGGAAACCTTCTGTCTGTCCACTGTCCAGGCTGCAGCTCAGACAGAAGCAGAGGGAGGGTGGCGCCGGACACTGATTCAGCTCGGCTGCAGGTCACTCAGCCCAGAACACCCGTGCCGTCAGCCAAGGCTGAGAAGACCGGCTTCGCGCCAGCCTGGAAGGTTCTGTGGACCGTGCTACAGAGGCCACCTAGAATTCTGACGCTGTCTATGCTGTCAAAGCTCTTCACACCTGCCACACACCTCAGGTGCTACCAAAGCTGAAGAGAGAAAAGACGCATCCTAATGATCTGATGTACCTCCACCTTTGGGAAATAAATGATGTGAGCTGACTCCTCTTTGGAATGCCACCATGTCCCCAGTTAAAAGGAGAAATTGTTTCTGAAATAAGGTATCCCCCAATTAGCCATGCATTCTACGAGAGAGGGAGGGGGAGAGGGTTTGTGTGCGGCAAAGTGAATGTCTTCCAGCAGATTTAGTAGTAAGGTTCATGGGCACGCGCGCACACACACACACACACATACACACACTCACACACACGCAATACACACACTCACACACACGCAATACACGCACACATACACACATCGTTCAGGTCAGACTATCCAGAGACATCATGAGTGTGACCAGCTGATGTGGGAGAGAAGACAAGGAGCAGTGGTCCTGGGGACCTTTGGAGGCTGAGAAGGGGTGTGGTGTGCTCTTGGGGAGCAGCAAGAGGTGAGGCCCAAGGCATCTGCAGAAGGGCTTTCTTTTTGAAGCTTAAGGAGCAGGTGAGGGGATTTCTCCTCCCCCTTCTTTGCCTTCTCTGCTGGACTCCTCAGAGTCTGACTGTAGGGAGGACCTGGAGGACCTTAGAGAAAATGCCAATGGATGGATGTTGGGTCTGCAGGGCACAGGGGCGGGGCAAACAGTGGTTAATGAAACTTACAAACAACCCAGAGAGCTTGGGCTTCAATGTGAACTTCTCCATCCATGGAACCTTCACACAGCTAAAATAAGTGGCCAAACTGACCTGGCACACCCCTTTCCCACCAACCTGCGGAAATGCTTGTGAACTGTCAAACAGTCACGTGTAAACAGAAGGAAAACTTACAGGCACCAGAGTAACTCACCGCTGTATCAACTAAGCATCCAGGACGACTCCCTCTACTGCCACAAAAACACTACATACTTAAAAGCAAGAAACTTGCTCCAAGGTGTGTAGCTGCAGAATTCATCTGTCATTACATAGGTCAAGTAGTCAATCTGCCAATCTTGACTAAACCTCTGATTTCCTTAGTGAACACCAAAAACTTATTACATGAAACTGAACTTGTAAACAGTGAATAAGTATAAGTGGCTGGATAATTCCTCGTACTTTAAAAACATATTCAATGGACCTAAACACAAAAGTTCATTGAAAATCTTAAAGTAAGGGAATTTCAAACCACTAAAACACTTGCTTAACATTTATATTCTGCTGTTTAGTGATACCACCTGACCAGTGCAAGGGACTGGCAAATATGGTAAGTAAACTGCTCCAAGGCTCTGTGAACGGAGAGGAAGGCCAGGCTTTTCTCAAAGCCGCGGGCTCCGCAGAGCAGCAGCCAAGTCTCCCCACACGTGGGAGCGGGTAAAAGCAGTTCCCTCCCCTCTCTAATACTGACCTCAAGGCCCTGCCAGTCCCTTGCAGGACACAAGCAGACCTGTTAAGGATGTTCTCGAGGGTGCACTGACACTGCATGTTAGAAAGGACAAATTCGTGAGTATAATCGTGGTCCACCAAGTAGACGATGAGAAAACACAACACACGGAGATTCCCTTAAGACTATCAGGGCTCCCGATGGCACCCCGGCCACAGACTGGAAATAAATGTACATGGCCAAAAAGAAGGGGGGGCATTCTGGATTACTTGCAGCAAATGCATCTGGAATAAATGAAATCTAATGTTCAATTACAGACAGTGGAAAGTGCATGATTATAACTTAGGATAATTTCAAGGAGTGGTCTGCCACAGAGATTTCTGTCATTTTCTTTTCCTCTTCAAATGCAAATGTTTAGTCTTTTCCACTTCTATTTTTAAACTAGAGGGTATTTGTTTTTGGTTGAATCGAGCAGGCCTCTTCGGATAATGAATCTGGAGCATTTCATCTCGCTGTAAAGAACCCATGCAGCCTTGGTCAGAGGAAGACCCCAGCTGCAGAGACCCGGGAGCAGGGTCCTCGCCCTGCGGCAGAGACGGCTGCCCTTTGCCAGCCTGGGTGTGGGTGCCCCTTACGGCAGCAGTGGCGTCCCAGAGGCTGTTGCGTTTTGTTGTCTTTGCAAACAATGAGAACGATGACTGCAGTTAGCTGGTTGGTGGAAAAAAATCTAAAAATATCCTTTGCGATGGCTGAACTGTGAGGGAGGGAAGCAGACTGAGACCTGACGTCTCCACACTTGGGGAGAGGACTCCAGCAGGGGACAGGAGGTTCCTGGATGGCCCAGGCGCGGGCTCTGGCACCCACCAAGTGGGCCCCCAACTCCCAGCACCAGGGTCCTGTGCTGTGAAGCCGTCCACAGGCTGGCAGCTCGCAGGAAGAGCTCCAGAGCTCCTCCCCCTGTGATCTCTGGGTGAGTGACCGGCACACACAGGTCCACTGCGGCACCTCCAGCCTTCTCAAGCTCTCCCCTGAACGACTGCTGACTCTCATTCCAAAAGGATATTAAATTAATACAGAGAAGCAACGTACCATCAAAACCTGCCAAGGGTGCAGAGTCCCCACCCTGTCACGCACGGTGTCCTGTGGTGCCCGCCCACCGAGGGGCCAGCTCAGGCACTCTGACTTTAAAACAGAGCTCCTTGAAAGAGGATCCTACTTTAAAGTAAGTGACCTGGGTTCCCACCAGCACTGCTGCCAGGAAGAGCTGCGAACCAGGGAAAAGGCCAGGATAGGCGGGACACGCGCCTGGAGAGGAACTCCCAGAGCCAGAGTGAGCATCCTGCTCGGCCTCCTCCTGCCAAAGGCCTCAGCGCACCAGGGTGAGGCGGGGGAGCGGGAGACCCTGCAGGAGCCACCCCCAGGAGCACTGGCCCCGAGGGAGGGGCCCTGTGGGGCTCTGTTCTTGCTTTTGCTTGGCGACCCCTGTTTCCTGGTGACCCGCGCTCCCCACAGTGGCTCACAACCTGCACACCTTGTTCTCCACCGAACCAAGAGGGATGCGGAGCTGCCGGGAGCATCTACAACCCTCTTGGCCGTCAAAGGCTCAGTCCCCGTGATATATAGCACCCTAAAATTCTAAAAAAATAGCTATTTCAGTCAAGAAGTGAAGTAAGATACTCTGTGGATTCTGTAGAATGACAAAGAGCTAAAGTCCAGAGAACAAGGAAGTCGCCAACACCAACTTGTCAGCCGCCAGGCGGACACTGCAAACTGAGCCCAGAAGAACTGTCCCAGGGACGAATGGTCCAGCCAGGACGTCAGCACGTCGCGAGTTGTTAGTTGACGTCTGTGTACTGTCCCCTTGCTGCACGCCAGGCCTCCCCAGGGCACAGCGTGAAGTGTGTGTTCAGGAGAGTCACAGCCAACACACAGACAGCACCATAGTGGGAAGAGGACCGCCTGCCCCCCACTGTGCCAGCCTGAAACAGTGACTTCAGAGGGAACACTTCCAGGTTTGGTGGAGGAGATGACACTTATGCTGAGACCAAAATGAGGAAGTGAAGCCATCATCAGTGGGAGGAGCCTCCTGGACAGCAGGTGGCCAGAGTGGGACCGTTCTCTGTATGAAGCCCCTGGAGCGGGGGAGGACCTTGAGCTCGTCCACACTGTCTGTCTGTCCGGTAGGAAATGGACTCACAGAGGGAAGATACCTCATCTTCCTGGAAGCAGAGCCATGGGACAAAGGGACCGCAGTCACCCACGGCAGAGGGAGGCCACCAGCCTCCACAGAGGAGTGGAGAGTGACAGAGTCGGATGTGACACCGCGACAGCCACGGGCACCCGCACATGTTTAAAGGACCAAGCACGAGCGAGAACAGAGGGGTCAAAGCAGAGGGAGAGGGACCTCACCTGGCAGAAGTGGCACCAGGTGACGTGTGGGCAGCTGCCTGTCCAACCCACCCTTTATCAAGAGAGGTGTCGGCACAGAGCGGGAGGAGCAGAGGAGAAGGGCGGGGGTGAAGGAGCGAGGCAGGTGGGTAGAAGCCCGAGCACCGCGGCCATCCAGCCACTCAGAGGCCGGGGCAGAGGGCAGCCAGGGCAGGGGGCAGCCAGGCCAGAGAGACCCTGCCTCAAAACCCAAACCAAAGAGGGCTGGGCCACAGCTCATCCCCAGTCCTCAGTCCGGCACACACAGGAGAGTGCACCACATCTGCACGTCTCCACCTAGGTATCCCCACACCTGTCTGCACAGACATGGGGACGGCTTCCCAGAGACACACCTGTCCTCACTGATGTCAATGTCATGCTCAGTACTGAGGAACCTCCTTACACACGCACACGTGCACACACACATGTGCACTCACACAATCTCAGATACACACACGTGCACACACACATTCTCACATACGTACACACACAACACACATTCTCACATACACACACCCTCACACACAGTCATATATACACATGTGCACACTCACATACTCACATACATTCTCACATGCACACACATGCACAATCACATACACACATGTACACACACATTCTCTTACACACATACACACAACACACATTCTCTCTCTCTCATACACACACACACACATGCACACACAGTTGCTTCTTTGACTCTTACCCCAAGTGAAGGTGGGCGTCCTGTCTGAGGCCGGGTCTCGAGTGTGCTCCAGCTCTGGAAAGTGGTGGTCTGCGGGGACCGAGCAGGAGGAAGGCAGACACAGAAGTCATGGAGGGAAATTTGATGAGAAAGTCAAATGATTTGGAACGTGTGGCTGGATCTCTTTAAAGTACATCCAAACAGATGGCTAAGAAAACCCACCAGCCACATCTGTCACGTGCCCTGTGACCAAGGCCACTGGACACCGTTCAGGCCCCAGCAGAGGGACAGCCACGGGCCACAGGAGGTGACTGAGAGGCAGAGGGAGAAAGGCAGGGGCTCAGAGGACAAGAGGGCAGACAGGTCCACCGCTGTCTCCCTGCAGGTGTGACAAGTGATTGGCAGGCCCCGGGGGTGGACACGGCTCTAGGACATGGGGATAGCCAGTGACCTCTCCCTACGTGGTGATGACAGAGCTAGTGTTCACGCAGATGGTGGCCGATGGCCGCAGGACAGTACTGACGCCATGGGCTGAGGGTCCGTGGCAGCAAGGTCAGATCTGGAGGCGGCTCAGGCACGGTGGCGGGACAGCTCTAAGAGGACCCAGCTCTCCACCGCCCATCACAGTGCACCTGGCTCCGGTCTCCATCTGTCTCAGGAGACCCTTGAGAGAGGAAAGGCGTCCCCTTCCCCTGGCCACCACCCGCGCACGGTGCCGGCTCCTTCCTGTTCACGGCACCCCAGCTTCGTGCCAGCCTGGTCTGGGGCTCTGCCCCTCGTCTGCTGAACACATGGCCGTATCTTCCATGAGGTTTGACCAAATAAACCTTTTATGATCTGTGACATAGTACACTGAAGGTCCTCAGCAGGGCCTTTCCAAGGGCATCGGGTGGCCTGCAGGGCTCCCCACCCGGGTGCCCTGGGCCGGGTCCTGGGCCTCCTGCAGCCCGCACCAGTGGGTAGAGATGGTGGGCAGGCCAGCAACCCCAGGAAGCCACAGGAGGAGATCCCCGCAGCCAGAGAGGCAGAGGTGAGTGCAGGAAGTGGGGGAGGAGGCCCCTCTGGGCTCAGCACAGATGAGAAGGGACTTCCAACCAGCGAGGACACAGAGGGAGGCAGGGAGGACAGACCTCGGCCACCCAGGCCTCGCACCTGGGAATCTGCTGCACCCATCAGCCACCCAGGGGGCCCCGGGGCCAGAGGACAGCCCTGGCTCACTGCGGCTCGGGCATCTCATCAGGAGAGGAACAAGTGGCCACAGCCAAGCCCAGGAGGACACCAGCTGCTCTCAGGCCCATGATCAGATGAAAGACGATTAGAGGCCACTGGCCCTTTAGCTCGTCCCAGAGGCCAGCAGGGCATTAGTGCGAAGGAGAGTGGAGGTGGTGGCTTAAGGGCTAATCTGACAAGATGCCACCCTGAAGGGAGGGCAGTGTTCCCGCAGAGCAAGGGACTGCCAGACTCTCCGCAGGACACTGCGAAACAGCTAGGAACCTAACCGCGGGAGAGTCTCCTAGGATGGCGCAGCGTGGTGTTGACTTAGGTGGTCTCTTCTCTGGGCCGTGTGCACTGTCAGGAGGTCAGCGCCTGTTTATCAAGTGCCTATTGAGATCCCCCAGGAGCCCAGAGGCCAAGGAGGCAAATCCCTCCTCTAGGAAGCCAGACTTCGTTGCTCCTGGGCCCGTCCCATCTCACCTGATCTATTCGTACTTTATATTCCTTCTCGTCCCTGTGGGGAAAAGTCCATCTGGCTGGGGGCTGGCTCAGGGTGGTTGTGTGCCTAGAGGAACAAGCACCCCCCTTCCTTCCTCCAACAGAAGACCTTTAGGGCAGGACTGTGGGTGGCGCAGGGACCGCACTGAGGCTGAAATGTGGCAGAAGTTCCCCACAGGGCAGCTGGAGTCCGACCCGAGTGGAAATCAGCACGTGAGCTTGGCTTGGTGGCACACACCTGTAATCCCAGCCTCTCAGGAGGCTGAGGCTGGAGGATCTCGAGTTCAAAGCCTCAGCAACTTAGCATGACTCTGTCTCAAAAAAATAAATCAATAAAACAAATAAAACAGGCTGGGGATGTGGCTCAGCAGTAAAGTGCCCTTGGGTTCAATCTCTGGGACCAAAAGAAAGAAAGAAAGAAAGAAAACCAGTGCCCCGACGCCCCCTGCTGGGGTGCAGCCCTCCATGACTAGACCAGGGTCTCGGGCTAACCAGGTTTTCCGTCTCCTTGTGCTGTGACATCCTATCAATCCTGCCGATCCTCTGCTCTCCTCCAGCCCAGTGCCAACACTCAAGTCATCCTAGCTGCGGCAGCTCGCCTAGCTGCCCCCGGTCACTCCAGCCTCTCCCTCCGTCCTTGGTCTGTATTACTGACCCTGCGGCCTGAGTCACCACCACCCGTTTCACTCTGCTGCTCAAAGTAGGTCAGTGGCCTCCCACCCCCTCAGGGGGAGTCCAGGGCAGGCGGGGTCCCCCCACCCACTCTGCCACCGGGTGTCCCCGCATCCTCACACTCTGCTTCCTGCTCCCAGCCAGGCCCTTCCATGCTGGCAGCTCCTGCCTGCGAGACCCGAGTCTGCACGGACAGCTGCACGCCGTCCACAGACCATCTTCTAACTGAGCATGTGACGTCCCCAAGGTGAAGTGGGTGCCACCGTGCCTGGGCAGTCGCAGGGCTGACACCAGCCCTAGAGCCACGAGGGAGGCTCCCATCGGGGGAAACTGAAAACACCCACTGACCCCCACCACCCTCAGGGAGCCAGCTCACCAAGTGACCACCGAGGTGAGTACAAAGCCAGGTGTAGATGTTTGGGACAATTTTAGAACTGCTGAGCTTATGATAAGGTCCTAGTGTGGAACCATGTCCTACCGTCGTGGGTGGAGCTCAGGGGCAGGCATGGGCATAGCCGCCCTGGGAGGATGGAGCACGCGCAGGAGGGGCTGCCTCTCCTGCCTAAGACACCCCCACGTCTGGCTGCAGCGGCGCAGACCTGCGGCCAGGGCTTCCCCCTGGAGGGGACCTTCTGGTGTGGCCACCACACATTCTGCCTAAGCAGAGGAATGGCCTAGACCAGTGCTTCCCAGTCCTTCCAGTGCCCACACGCGCCCAGATTTCCCATAGGAAGCAGACCTTGGCTCAGGGGGTCTGGGTGGGTTCTGGGACAGGTTCTGCCAAGGCAAAGCTCATACTTTGAGCAGCCCAGTTGTAGACGTCTTTCCTGGTCCCGTGAGGACACATTTTATTTTTGAACTCCCAAAATATCAACAGCCTATTACAGCAACTTAAGGTAACTATCACCAAGATTAAGATATAATCCATAATGAAAAGTGAGAAGAACCCGAGTAGTTATCAGGGCCAAACCCTAAATCCTTAGTTCTAGAATTAAAAGGGGGGGCGGATACCGCACGCAATTGTCTTTTTTTGTGGGAAAAACAAGGAATGAAGAGCCACTGTCTTTACATGTGATTGTTCAGGGCCCTCCTCCCCAGCCCCTCACCCTGGAAACAAAGGCAGCTGCGGCTCTGGAAAGAGGAGACCCTGGTTCTGACGGCCCAGGAGGACCCAGTACCCAGCTAAGGTGAGCTCCCTGAGCCATGTGGTGCTGGGCGAGTGCTGCCCACTGAGCTCCGCGGACCCTTCCTAGAGCTTCATTTTCTCCATGAGGATAAGCTGCTCAGGCCTCCTGCCTCAGCCTCCCCGAGCCGGATTACCCAGGCCACCACACCAGCTGGGACCTTCTTCCTTCTCCCCCTCGCTCTCTCCTAGCTCAAGTATCTGAGGTGAAGTCCCCCCACATCTTGGTTTCCCATCAATTCAGGACTGATTTTTTTTTTTTAACCAACATCTGAATTTTATTTCGTTCTTGTTTTCTTTTCTTTTACACGATTCTGTCCTTCACTATCATGCAATTGCTACTTTCATTTATCCAAGTTCGAGGAGTTTAAAAGCTGCCAAAGCAAAAGAAGAAAATATCCCTGACTCGGGGTAAGAGGGCTCGCGTGGACAGGCCCACGGTCGGTCGTCTGGGCCAGGTTGGCTTTTGTAGCTGGAGTCCCTCCTCTCTCACTGTTCCCTTGTCAGCAAAGCGGGGACAACCGTTCTCGGACTGAACATTTAGGAGACTAAATGAAACAGAGGCCGTGAATGTGCTTTTCAAAGATGTCTTCTGTTCACCTACAGAGAGTGTGGCCAGTCTCTCAAACTAGTGCAAAGTCCTTCCCAACAGCAGGTCACCTTCTAGCTGCTTTCTTCAAACAGAGCGAGGAGAAGGAGTTTGTGCTTCTGACCATCCGCCGCATCTGAGGACATCCACAGCTTAATGAACAAAGCTGGATTAACACGGCTCAGAGTGGACGTGCTGCGGCTTCCCAGGCCTGGACGCACGAGAGGATTTGAGAGGCACGTGTTTGGATTAGAGAGCTGTGGATCAGGACCGGTTCCCAGAATGGTCTGCATTATTATTTCTGGATTAAGAGATGATGTTTTTAAAGGACACTTTCAGAGGGCAGACGATGCAAACAGACCCCACAGTCATTTTTAAGGAAGACATTATATCAAAGTAGGATGAAGTGATACAGGAATACAAGCCTTCAACCACCAGGGAGACGACAAACCATTGCTTTGGGACACATCAGGAGAAGGCTGCAGCAGGCAGATCGCAGGGCCGGAGGAAAGGGGGTCATCAGGCTGCCCGCCGTTGCCCCTGCCTTGAAAGTGTGGACACACTTTAAATGTGGAGATCTTCCCGGGAGGACGACCGGAGTTCAGGGCTGCCGGGTTCACATGGGTGCGTATAAACACCTCCGGAGCCGGAGCGTCTTCTTTCCTGTTATAAAGGCCTTTACAGAACATCTGTAGCATCCTTCCATCCGTCTGCAATGGCTCTCATCAGTTCATTGAAAGGTACTATCCCATCCAATACTGTTGAAATCATCTATTTAAGAAGTCCTAAAACTGAACCTGACTTCAGCTCTTACCCCTTACAGGGGACTGCCACCCAGCCAGTGGGATAGCGGAAAGCTAGTGAACCACCAGTAAGCCCTGCTGCAGCCACCGTGACCCGCCAGCAAGCTCCACCCATGTCAGAGGGGATCCCGCAGCGTGGTGACTGCTGCCACCTGGCACAAAAGCACCGTTTCCGTATCGTGGATTGTGAGTCTCAGGTAAATTTATAGCCCATTTCTCTAATCCAAATTTTTCTTATTATGCTCTGCTTACTAAAGAAAATGTGTTTTTTGTTTCCTTCTCCTGATAACTTGTCTCCCAGGTGTCTCACAGCACTTAACACCCTGACGTGATGGCTGGTGGTCACACCCATCGAAGGCTCAAGAAGGGCAGGGGATCTGCCTGGAGAGGTCATTTCATGGCGATAAGCAGACTTAATGCAGAAAACGGGTAACGTCCTTTGCCTTTCACGATGCTGCATAACTTGTGTGATGGCAGTGGCGAGGTCGGGGGCTAGGGAGGTCTACCTGGGAGCCTGCTGTGATCAGGGGCTGACACCCACTTCACCATCAGTGACGTCACTGTCAAGTAAGCCTTTCCAGAAGGACAGATGTGGAGCATTACTACTATTTATCAAGGCCAGTCCCGACTGTCCTTCAGAACCAGAGGGGTTTTTATTCTGAAATGTGTCCATATTCTACCTTAAATCATAATTTAAAAGTGAAAGAGTTTAATCAGCTTCCTTAAAACACTTACTAATAAATTACTACCCCAAGCAAACAAGCCAACATTGAGTGCATGGCATACCACAGGGATGAGCTTGTGGACTTAGGCTACATAAAAGGCATTTTTGAATCATTAAGTTGTGAGAAAGCAAATCATGTCCATGCAAATTAATGTGACCCTTCATCTCACCCTGAAATTGGTAGACATTTCTGTCAATTTTGCTTCTGAAGCCAGAGAGTTACCACTTTGTTTAAAGTTTCTGTGTGTTCAGGTTGTCTCTTCACTGAGACTGGGTCTCAGATTTCTCATGAGCAGGAGCATGTGACGTCACGTCACAGGCTGCTAAAGTGACAGATGTGGAAACACATTAGAGAGAACCCTGAGCTACAGGACCAGGGTGCTGTGGCAACGCGCACTGTCATCCACACCATGAAATCAAGCACAAGAAACAACCTCAGCTTCAGCAAATGACTGGTGTTACTGAAAAAACAGTGACATTTCAAAGAACATTTTCAAAATGTAATAATATACATGAAAAAAGTTGGGAGAGCATTATTCAAAACTTTCAGAATACTGACATTTTCAGAATTTCAGAACATAATGGGTTCGACATCTACTGATGACAGAACTATGAAATGCTTGAGAGTAACTGGTTTATTTAGGGACATTTAAATATTTTTAAAAATCTTACATATTTTATTTTATTTATCTTAATTCTTCCTTTAAAATTTATCCTACATCTTTTTTTTTTCCTTTTTAAAAGCTGCTCTTGGTGCATTGACTGTAAACAGCAGTGAGTTCATTGTTGCATATTCAAACATGCACACAATAGGCAGTATAATTTGGTCATTCACTTGGGGGCTTTCTCAGCTTCCTGTTCCCCCCTTTCCAAGACCTCTCATTCTGTAGAGGGTGTCTGCACTGTGTCGTCTCCAAACCTCTGAGCACTGTAACAGTGGAAAGACACCTTCATGCACAACTCAGTGCTCTGGACTGACTTGAGAGTCCTGGTCCACCGTGGGGCACGGGAGGCGCCCTTCACATCTTTCCCTAGTAACCTCCAGGGGTGGCGTGATGATGTCAGGGCTGGTTATGATGTCACGGCTTTGCCTGGCCTTTTCACTTTGTAGGGACGGTCACCTCTGCCAGGTTCTGTGGGCCACTGACCCTCTGATGTGTGGTTAATCTGTCCACTAGCTAAGATTCACAGCTCATATCTTCATCCACAGAGGTGAACGCTAAAGGAGTGACCTGAACAGGAGCACCTCAGGTGGCACCCACCGTGCACCTCAGTCCTGTGAAAGGCAGCCTCTCAGGGCCTCTGGTGACATCTTCGGAAGCTGTGAGATGGGCGGGATTCACGCCGTGGGAAGCCGCACATCGTCTGAAGACATGTCCAGCATCTTTCATTTTACTCGAACGTCGAGTTTTTAAATGCAAGTATTCTCCGAGCCTACACTAGCCGAGATAATTTCCAATGGCCTAATTCCTGGACATCGAAATTCTATGCCTGAATTCACACCAAGGCATAATGAGGACAGTTTACAGAATCTGTGGGGCCCAGGGCAAAACTCCCTGCTCCAAAGTAAGATTCTCAAGATGGCCACAGCAGCAAATGCAACCGAGTGCAATTCTAAGTGTGACCAGTGAAGCAGGCCCTGGGGTAACTAGTACTGAAATACGAGACAGAGATTCCAAACAGAAATGGAAGAGGTAGGCTGTTCAGAAGAGGAAAGGCCGAAGACGCTCAATCAAATATTATTTCTCCCTAAAATTTGTCTTCAGGTAGCCTCGTTTCCATCAGTTTTATCCAGCTGCTAAACACCTTTGTAAGAGGTTAACTAGGTCAGCTTACGGTTCCCCACTGAAAGGTATTTTCTGGTTACAGGAGACTCTGAAAATTAAATTACATTAATAACTAAGAGATTGTGTTTTAGTCTCCTGAGAAGGCTTGAGAACACCTGGGACAGGTGGCTTTCCTGTAGGTGACACACCTGTCACCTATTATGAAGCATCCTGCCATTGCGATTGTCACAGATTACATTTTTATCTCCCATTTAAGAGGTGGTTTATTTGTCCACGATAAAGCAACTTATTTTTTCAAACTTTCAAACATTACCAGTGGAACTTGCATGTCAGAGACCCAGGCAGGCAGAGATGACCATCGTGGGCCTTACCCAGTGGGACGGGCACTGCACCAACACTGCTGTCCCCATGTGTGTCTGTCGCCACTGTGGCCACACATGCCTCTTCAGTTATGGGATCCAGTTCTGAATGATGTGAATCTGAAGCTTTTGATGATACTGAAGTTTGAGTGAGTGCTGTGATTTAACAGGAAGTTGTGGCGCCGACACGCAGACACACTCAGGTCTCCTTGCCAAACACGTGTACACACATGAGTGTATCCCTACCCATAAACATGTCTTCACTGTGTCTTTAAATGTATTTTAAATAAGATTATGTGAATGGGCCAGGGACATTTATGTTGGAGTGACATATTTTGGGGGCATGACTGACAGTCTGATTAGAAGTCATGTCATTCATTGCTGGGGTAAAATGCACACCGTCCCCCACGGCAATCTGAGTGTTTATTTTGCACATGCCTTGACCTCAGGAGGCACAGAGGCCATCCCCAAAGCGTGCATGCGGTGGGGCTGGTGTCACAGTGGTGTGCGTGACGTACAATCATGGGCATGCCAAGGCCATCTCACACCGGCAGCAGCCAAGCAGAAGGGCTGCTCCTGAAAGAAAACGGGTCCTTCTTAAACACAGTGCTCCCAAGTCAGGCCCTGTGCTGTCCCTGGTGTGTGCTAACTGTCGGAACACGGTGTCCCCAGTCTGGGCATAAAACAGACTTGCTCATGGTTCCTGTGTTACGATTCTAAAAGTCACCGTGACTTAAAAACCATTGCACAGGTCTTTCTGAGGTCAGATCTATCTACTTCAGTACCACTTTACCTACATCTGTGTATGCAAGGGTGTTGCCTCGGAGGACACTAGACAGGAACGTGGCTTTTAACTGTTGCTAGAACTCACACTGATTGGAGTCCCTGTCTGGGCTACGTCTTTAGGCCGCGGAGTGTGTATTCTCCCAGCACACAGCTGCGAGAGAGTGTTGTTGTAATGACTTCCTCTTAGAAGAAACCCACAAATGTGTACCGTCTCCATGCACTTCAGCCGTCACCAGCATGTGGTGTGAACTGAAATCCTCCCAGTCAGAAATGTGCATGCTTCTAACTCAGTTTCTGTAACCTGGTTATTATGTTTAAATGCCTCTACACTGCAGGGCGGTGCCCCATAGTTCCACTCAAATTAGTTTATTTCTAACAGTGCATAATATATTCTTATAGAGTTCCTTCCAAACTTAATAGAACCTTGTTTTATAAAATGAATCATTTTCTCATAACTCTAAAAAGGCAGCAAGTTATTTCAGAGGAAGAATTACAAGACACATTTGACATTTATCCAATTATGCTACTTTAGCCACAGATTTGTTTTTTAAAGAAAAGATTCAATCTAGAGTTTTCACAAGTGAGGCCAGAATACTTCAGAGAAATAGATTTGAAACATTAAATCAGCATCATGTTCAAAGTTTCTACATGAAAATATTGATAAACAAAAGCCAAGAGCTAGTTACCAGCTTACTAAAATAAATCTGTTTCCGAAGGATCAGGAAGTTACTTAAGGACAGTGACATGTGAACTAGGGACAGTTCCCATAGCTTTCCCATGAACGGGAGGCTTGTAGAATTCAGAGAGAAGTTTAGATCAAATCGAGCTTAGTGAGTTCTTTAAACACCTGGCACCACATCAGGACCCAGCACCCAGCTGTTTGTGGTCAGGTCTCTTCAGCCCACAGGGAAAATCTAAGGAAATGTCTTGCTGTATTGCTAGTTTACTTTTATTCACATTCTTTACCCTTAATTTTTTAAATGCAAAATAACTTTTAGAAAAATCTTCATAGAATTTATATTACTACATACATTTCCTATTTTCTAAGTACTTCAAAGAACTAAAATTCATGGATTTTTGGTTTTCAGTTTTTAGTAAAACACAAAAGGAAGAGGGAAGGTATGCATCTTTGGGTTTTGTGTTCAGGAAGTGAGTACCCAAGAATATACCTGCTTTCGGCACTGGCCCGGGCCCTGTGGGCTCTGGAACAGCAAATTCCAGGACTCGTGAGTCTGTACACATTTGAACACACACAGAGCACACTGAAATGGGGTGATTTTCCCCAAAAAATATAATGGGATTGATGGTCAACTACGTGACACCACAGGATCTCAGCAGTCTTGTGTTTCAGGTCCCACTATGTGATCATCTGTTTAACAACAGCAGTGAAGTCTCCTCTCTTCTTCCTTGGTGGAGAGCGACATCCAAGTACGACTGCTGCACACACCCTCGCGTGGTTTCATTTTCCATTTGTAATATAGAGCAAAAATAAAGCGGAATGTGCCCTGCTTTGCTGCACAAATACAGCATATTCTTGGAGGGAGTATTTAAATACTGGAGGAGTTGGATTTTGAAATCAGTTTTCAAAGCAACAATTTGTTACGGTTTCCTCTGTAACTATTCAAAGGTGCTGTGGTTTCTACTACATGGTTGGGGACCAACAGGGTAAGGATAAGTTATGTTCCTCACAACAATCATTCCAAAATAAACACTTCAAGGTTTTAGAAATTATTTCAAGGTCAAATGAGCAAGCTGAGCAGGCTGCATGCTCTGCCTGACTGCGGCTTGACACAGAAGGTCCAGCCACGCATCTTCTTCCTGGTGCCTAGCGGGTGGCCAGGTTCCTTACTCAACCAGCTGTCCCTGCTGGCGCAGGGCTCTCCCAGGCAAGACAGACAGGGAGACAGGGAGCAGGAAGGTTGGGGACACAGGGCTTGGTCACTGGAATCAACGGCCCCATCTGGGAGACTGACCCCCCTCCATCGGCTCCTGTGCTGTGGTCCAGGCACACTACCCCATCCCCAGCGACCACCCAGCACACCCAGATGGAAAAGACCTTTGTTCTAATAAGGGTGGCAACAAGACTATTGTGCTTTTTTTTTTTTTTAATTCTGCTCTCTGAGTAGGCTGAATAGCACCAACCGCGACAGCAATAAGGCCACTCTGTGTTCACTCCAGTTCTGTCTCTCTCCTTCACCTCAAACAATTAGTTAAAGTTCTAAAACACATTTTGCCTTCCTGTGCAGGGTCTGGTGGAAGAATTCAAGTGAGAAAACTTAGGTCTGAACTGCCAGGCTCAGGATGCCGCTGACGACGTCTCTCCACGGTCATCTGAAGACTGACCCACAGCTCGGGTTCTGATGCAGACCCTGGCAGGGTCTGGGCAAGCTGGTGATGTGGTCTTTCCTCTTTAACATTCATGCTTCACCACAGAGTGCTAATAAGACCCAGGGCAAACAACCAAGGGTGGGGGCTTCCCTCCTTCATCGGAGGGTATTTTTCAATTATATATTTTGTTACGTCTTCAGAGATAAAAGCTGTAATCTGCAAGTGATTAAAAGATGTTTTATATTCGTGGTTTCATTTCTGCTGAAACGAATGCGTAATTTAAACCACACATAATTCATAGCAATTTAGGCCCATTACAAAGCTGTAGCTTCTTTTTTATGATAGTTACTAATTAAAACAGAGCGTTGTGCCACGCTGAGCCTCAGCCTTTGACATACAGGTTTAATGAATAAAACATCCTGACACAAACATGAAAACAATAACGGGACAAGGCTGCAAGCTGTTATGCTTCAGTGTGTGGAAAAGATTAAGGACGTTCACGGAGCTCGGCACTGTGCAGAGAAGGAGCCCGGAATGTCTTTCTTTAAAGGAAGAAGCAAGAGGTTTTTGAGAGAAATTTGAAATAGTACTAATCTCTAACTTCTGGGCCCCTCATTCCCAGTTGTCCCCCTCCCCCAACTAGGAATTCAAACTCATAAGCATCACTTTTAGAGAACAATGATGGGATATTTTAATGTAATCCTGAATATAGGTTTAGATTGAAAATGGGAATTGGGACCATAATTAATTATGTTGAGAATTTTTTTTAAACTTTAAGAAGGCAGAGGAAGGTAAATGACATTTCATAAGACTGCAACCTTCTAAAAGTTCACGGATTGAAACTTTGGTAAATGACAGTATCTTTGGGGGGGTTTGATGAATCCCATATGCAGAGTGAGTGTGAGGAATTAATTCCGTTTGGTGTTTTCACTTTCTGAAACCACGGTAATAAGAGACTGACATAAAATCAAACCAAGTGTAAACACAGTCCTGAGCTGGGGTGACGGCCTTATTATCGCTCTTAATAAACATAATTAATAATAATAAATGCCGGTCGCCCTCAGCACCCTGCTCCGCACGATCGCGCCCCTCCCATCCATCCATCACTTGTTTCAGGATAATAAAACAATTCCACCCACCAGGTCCTCCGCTCCCTCCCTCCCTCGGAGAGATGTTTCATCTCTACCTCTAGGAGCCAGGGAGGACTTGTTTGAAGGGGGCGGAGAAGAGCGGGTCTTATTTACTTCCATTGACGACTCCCCTGGTTCTCACGGGCGCCCCGACCAGGGAGGAGGAGGAGGGAGGAGGAGGTGGGAGATTCCCTCCTCCCCAAAGAAAAAGGGTTCAGGAAGCGAGGCCAGGAGGAGGGCGGGGAGAGTGGGCAGTGTTTGGTGAGAGCAGCCAGACAAATGAAAAAATGCATTCTCCATTGTGATCCAGTGGGGCCGAAAGATGAGGCGTAAACAGCGTTACCAACCCAAGTTGCTCAACAGAACTCCAAGAAACAAAACCAGACTTTTGCTCAGGTTCATTTCCCGCTCCAGGTCTAGCTTCCTGGGAGCCGGACATCCCGGAGCAGGAGATGGACAGCGCCCCGAAGGGGGCCGGAGGGGAACGCGACCCGGGCGCGCGCCAGCCCAGCGCCCCTCGGAGGTGCCCGAGGACTCCCTGGGCTCGGCGGCCGGGCGCAGCCGCCGCGGGACCCCGAGGGGCTCTCGCCTGGGTCTGGGCAGCGTGCAGACAACCCGCACCCCAAATCCAGCAGTTGCGAAGTAGCCGCAAAGCAGCGGGAATCCGAAGCCACGCATTCCGGCTGAGTCCGCGGCGAAGCTCAGCACCGAGAAAAGCAGGCGCAGGCCGGGGCGAACCCCACTCGCGCACAGACGGGGCGAGGGGCGACGCCGGTGGCCCGGCGGGCGGGCGTCCCGCAGTGGCGCTCTGCTCTGAGTCACAGGACAGCCAACCCCGGCCGCCCCGCTCGCCAGCCACGCAGAGGACCAACGCCGAGCCGAGCGGGGTCCCTGGGAAGGCCGAGCGGGACGCCTGGCGCTGCGGGACCCTGCGCTCCTCGCCCCCCGCGCGGGCGCCCCCCGAGCCGGGTCCTGCTGACTTTCTCTGGCGGCAGACAACTGACGTGAGTCCTGCGAGGGAGGCGACAGCCTGCCCCGCAGGAGGGCAGAGCGTCCAGGCCGAGCCGGGATGGAGGCTCTGCGGCTCCCAGAGCTCCCGGCCCGGGCGCTCTCCCTCCACCTCCGGACCCCACGGAGCCGCCCCGCCACGAAACCACAAGAACCGAGTACGACCTGCCGCACGCCCCTCGTGCCCGCTACCCTTCTGGGTCAGGCGTCCCGGGACCTCGCTGGTCCTTCCTAGCTTGGGGCGCGCGCCTCCTCCTCGGACCCCGCTGAGCCCCGGGTGTGAACGCCCTTGTGCCCGTACTGGGGTGGCGGGCTAAGGCGTGCGGAGTCGGGGTGGCTCTCCTCCCGCACTTACCTGAAAGAAGTCGGTTTGCTTTTCCAGTGGGGAAGAGAAAAGGTCCCACCCTGAGGTGCGGCTCCGGCCAAGATGCCCAGCGCCGTACCCAGGAACCGAGGGGACGGGAGGGCAGGGCGGAAGCCGATGAGAGGAAAATCAGCCGGCCGCAGTGTCCCAACTTTGCGGCCAGCGCCGCTAACTTCAAACGCGGGCGAAAAGCAAGCGGCGTGCGCCGC